AAAGCAATTTAACCCCTCCGGCGTTGCGTTTCGATGACCTACAATTATATGTGCTAATCCTCATACAATTTATAGCTAAAAAGGATGTCACAGAGCATAAAAACAGAAGCAGAATACCCCACAGTAACACGTTACGGATCATTCGGTCAGAGTCCTCGGAGCTACAGACATGGCAGGATCGGACTTCTTGTTAAAGAAGCGCCGAATGAGCAGGCCCTCCGCCCATATTTCTGGGTTCAATACATCATCCACCGTTGGATTGGTCAACTCGAGACGGTATGACTGATACGACTCGTATCTCGTCTGCAATTTGGTAGCCACAACCTCCTCTGCACCAGTCTGCTCTTTAGCGTAGAGTTCCACGGCTTTATCGTCCGTGCCAGGGGGAAGCCTGGACACAAACAGAGATACACGCTTTACTGATTTTACGGCAGAGATCACACTCGACTTTTGAAGGCCCACTACACTCTTTTTAGTGGTAGTGAGCTTGCCAGATGCTGAAGCTGTTGGAGGCTTACCTCTCTTGGCCCTATTCGCCACAGACCAGTTCCCGTCTCCCCCAGTCGTAGGGGCGGCCGCAGCAGCTACCGCAGCATACGTAGCAGCTGCAGGCCCGCGCTGTTGACCCCGTCCTGCCTGCTCCTGCAGTGTGGATTCCGAAGGGTGTCCAGATCTGTGCGCCTCATCTACTGAAGCGCTTCCATCCAGACGGGTGGAAGGTTCCCGCACCGGTTGACTCCGCTGTTCTCGTGCGGAGCTACTTCTCTGGTCGGCAGAATTGTTGGCGAGCACGGTTTCCACTCGTCTTGATGTTTCGACGCTGACTTTGAGGACATCATCGAGCATAGTTTTCATCTGCGACATTTCAGCCTCCATCACCTGCTGTTTGCGCATTAACGCACTGACGTCAATACAGTCGATGGAAATAGGCGGGAGTTTTGCCAAGTCTAGGGCCACAAACTTGGGCAACATTCCCCGATCACACTCCAATGCCATCTTGTAAATGTCTTGAATGTTCAGTTTCTTCTTGTTCTGGCCTCGGCGGTTGCCAGCTTTCAGTGATTCCTCTACGTGGGAACATAAAAGACTCTTTGCTGTCTCAACTTCCTCCTCACTGAAGTTCTCTGCAATCAGTTGCACAAGCGTATCTTGCGGGACACTGTCGATTTTGTTCAAAATGTAGCAGAGAAGCTCATTAATAATGGCAGCCATATCGTTGAAGGTGGACGACGACTAGTGGAACTTAGCTTCTCGACAGATCCACATCAACTACGTCACGTGTTCCAATACCAAAAATGGACAGGAATTCAGGGCATTTCGCACCCAAAGATCTGCGAGAAAACACTTATTATTCTTCTGTCCGGCAAATCTTCAGACAACTAATTCACTCACTATTCTCTGTCTTGATAACAATAAATCAGTTCAGCTTGTGAAGAAGAAAAAGCTGAACAATCTGAACGCATTACCACTGGTGACGGCGTCAAAAACACAATATTTATGCCAACAAAACAGGAGCTCCGCCAAAAGCTGCCATCTCAGTCAGCTGGCAGCAGCTGACCCTACATAGCACGCTGCATCTACCCGTTAGGCAAATATGCACTAACATGACGGCGCTGCTTGTCATCTAACCTGAGCGGAGCGTGGCAGTTCGAGGCTTTCACATCAGTAGCCGAGCTCGACCGAAAATGAACTACCATCTTATTCTTCATCTACGCTCCACACAACTTTTGGAGACTACAGGATGCTTGTTCGGCTGGTCACAACGGACAAAATCGATTAAAAATAGCGGGACGCGGCGCACACTGCGATATCACATCTCAAATGCGCAGTGGGAAGCACCACGACCTCATCTGGTTAGATCTCCTTCCGCCACTGACCATGCTGAGACCTCGGCGAGATTTATTGAAATGCCGAGTGCAGCCGGCAACGACCCTAGCTCAGCAATTAGCCGAGATTAGCTAATGGAAGACGCAGAGATACGGCGACCAGGTCCGCCGCATCAAGGTCAATATCAAGTACACCCTGACCTCCAAAATCGCGACCGAACCGTTAGCTTTCACCTCCTTCAGAATCCAAACTGAAATGTCGCTGGATTTCGTTAGATATTCCCGGGTTCTGACTTTTTCCGTGTTCTGTTCCAGGGTATGCCGCTTTATTTTAGAAATAACCCGCCTCTCAGTAGACTCCGCAGTCCGCACCTCCCCCTTGGCCCTTCCACCCCCTCCCCCCCACCACGCCCCTCACAACGCCATCCAGTATCGTAGTGCCGATACCCAGGGCCGCTCCCACACTGTCCACGGGTGGTTAGCACCGCGGGACGCGCTGTAAGCCCGATCGCTGAGGTGATACGGCCACCGGTAAGGCCGGGAGATCTCATCACTGGATGGTGCTCGGCGGTAGGAGCGGCGCAGTTTAACCTCAAGAGGCTGCGGTCTGAACGGGACTGGACCAGGAGTCTCAGTGCTTTGTTGAGCTGAGAGCTGAGAGCTGAGAGCTGAGAGCTGAGAGCTGAGAGCTGAGAGCTGAGAGCTGAGAGCTGAGAGCTGAGAGCTGAGAGCTGAGAGCTGAGAGCTGAGAGCTGAGAGCTGAGAGCTGAGAGCTGAGAGCTGAGAGCTGAGAGCTGAGAGCTGAGAGCTGAGAGCTGAGAGCTGAGAGCTGAGAGCTGAGAGCTGAGAGCTGAGAGAGAGAGAGAGAGAGAGAGAGAGAGAGAGAGAGAGAGAGAGAGAGAGAGAGAGAGAGAGAGAGAGAGAGAGAGAGAGAGAGAGAGAGAGAGGAGAGAGAGAGAGAGAGAGAGAGAGAGAGAGAGAGAGAGAGAGAGAGAGAGAGAGAGAGAGAGAGAGAGAGGAGAGAGAGAGAGAGAGAGAGAATCACCAATGGATATAGCCACGTGATGGGATCAGTGTCGGAAGTGATCGGTCACAGGCGATCATCGTCTCCAATCCCACTGGAGATTGATCGCAGATAAGCCAGGGACGGGGTTGGGACAAGGGGCAGGCGGACCTGATAGACACAGGTACAGCGGCGTGATAGACGGGACAGATGTGCTGCAGCGATCACAGGAGGAATCAGTGAGTCGTCCCAATCCCCGAGCCAAACATTATTTGTGAATAACGGCGGCACACTTTCAGTTGACTTGTGAATGCGTAAACGGCGGCGGATGGCGCAATAAAGGCAATTTAGGCCTGTTATGACACCCATCTAAAAACATCTGACTTGATCAATGTCGCGTTCGAAAACAGGCGGTCATTTTAGTGGGTGATAATGGAGCGGCTCATCTAGATGTTGGCATGCCGACAGCAATCGCTTGGCCGAAATACGCGGTAATTACTCGTCAAATTCGACAGAAACCGAACTAGGAACAGATCTCGGACCGTCATCTATCCGACGTTCGCCGGGAATACATATAGCTAAATGGACCACCTCACGAACATTACAACACCGGTATTTAGTTGACCACACCGTACCGACCGTTGAGACAGGCCTTTCGTTTTCCTCGATCGCCACACTGGCCGCCGCCCACCTGAATACAAAACAGCGGGCAGTATTGGGAGCTGCCCTAAACCGGTGGTCTCCATTAGTGACCACCCAGTGCCTCCCCGGGAGTCCTCAGTCATCCAGCGGTACCAGACGGGAGGCACGCACACCACCCACTGGTTCTCCACAGGAGGGCACGCACATAACAGGAGCCCTGCAGTCAACACAGCTGCCCGGATACGACTAACTTTCCTATTGGAAAGACGGACACTGAGAGACAGTATTGGTCAGACAGCTCAGCCGATCCCAGGAGCAGCGTGACGGCCGCAGCTCGGTACGTGAGGTGATCGCCCGGCCGCTGCGCTTCCTGATTGATCGACAATGGGAGTCCAGTGGGCGTGGGGCGCGTGCCAGTACATTTAGCGGTGTCAGCGGGTGGCCGGGCACCGATCAGCCAGCGTGGAGCGTCGGTCCAGGCCCGGTCCACCGACCCCGGGTCACACACACACACCCAGGGATTATTGGTATTCTGCAGCGCTGCGGCCGCCGCCCGGCTGCACACACCGGGCTGGCAGTAAACGTCCACTAGGCGGCTCACGGGAGAATCCATCGGTCAGACCCCAGCGGAGTCGGACTGAGTTACTGCCCAGTGCTCACACCGGCCGAGTTACTGCTGATTCTGAGATAACCACTCTGTGCTCACTGGCCGAGTTACTGTTGATCAGAGATACACTGCTCACTGCTCAGTGCTCACCGAGTGAGTTATTACTGCTTATAGGCGGAGTTATTGGTTAGCGGCCAAGATCTCGCACCAGCAGATGTCAGTCCGCGTTCCGACCGGTGGGATTTGCGCCAAGGGATGGGCCGATCACTGCAGTTCGGTCGCCGCGGTGCAGCCGTTCGGAAGCCACCACATGTCACCACGGCGACCACTAGCAGCGAGCCCACCACCCGTAACAAAGGGTGAGATCTCACGGCCCGTGTCCCCACGGTTCGCTCCTGGCGTGAGAAGTAACACATCCGGTACTCGCGGGAAAGGATTGGACGTCCGCCGCGGCCTACTGACGTATCGTACCACATCATCTCACCCTACGGTGGGACCCTCCCTGCAGCCGACGGTCCCACACACAGCGCTAGCGGGTCCAGCAGTTTAAAAAATAGTTCCAGTGGCCGCGACTGAGCTAGACGTGATTTGCCTGCTGAAGAAAGCTGTGGCATTCCCGGTAGGCCTGACCTAAATATCACCGTCACTCTTCACAAAACGTGAACTCAACTGACCTGGGTTTGCCAGTTACTACCATAGTAAACTCCCGTGACTTAGACTGACCTGGGCTTGCCATCCATGTCATTGTGAATTCAACTGACCTGGGCTTGACCTCAGTGTTTCTGTGACCTCCCGTGACCCCTCTACTGACCTGGGTTTAACCTCCAGGTCTCTGTGACCTCTGCTGATCTGGGCTTGACCTCCCCTGAACCTTCCACTGACCTGGGTTTGACCTCCAAGTCTCTGTGACCCCTCTACTGACCTGGGCTTGACCTCCATGTTGCTGTGATTGGTGAAGAGGCGGCCGCGCTGGCCGCAGCAGCCCGAGGAGCCCTCCGAGCACGAGCTGAGCCCGTCCGGGCTGGGCAGGCTATGGAAGCCCGACGACTCGCTGCGGGACGGCGACGGACGGCTGCGAGGGGACGACGAGACTGCGCTCCGGGGCGTGGCCGACTGAGGGCTGAAACGGCGACACAAGGGTCAGGTCAGGTCACGGTATGGTGGTGCAGAGTGACGGGGTTGAGGCTTGAGACGAATGGGCGAGTCAGGTCACAGGTGGTGGGGCATGACAGGCACCTCAGCGTCAAATAAAGTCAATAAGTGAGGGTGACAATATAATAGAAAACCGCGCTGATGACGGGGAGAATGACCGGACCACGTCATGAATAGAAGCGTGCTAAACAAACGCTTCACTAATTCAATCACCACCACCGGCGACCCGGTGAGGCGAGTGAAAGTTTAATCACCAGTGACCGACCCACCGACTGACTAGGTCTGAGTGCGAGGCGGCTCTCCCCGGCACGGTAACGGGGCCGGTCCGTACCACCACTGCTGACTCGGCTGACTCGACAATCGTGCCCGTGACCAAGTCGGCCCGTTTCCTGCCGCAGTGTCCGGCCGATTTCCCAGAGTTCCCCTCCCCGCCGTGACCCCTCCCCGGACGGAACCATTCGCCAACCCACCTTTCTTCAGTCCCCGCGTCTGAGAACAATGCTCATGGGCATGACCGGGCCGGAGCCGTCTCGAACAAACGCCTAGCAGTCAGGGTGCGGCAACAGCACAGCCACGACCCGTCCCCCTTCCCCCACCTCTCCAGCGCTCTCACCTAATCGAGACGTGTTTCTCGGGCGTCTTGCGCGCCGTGGAGATGCTGAGAGGCTTCAGACACTTCTTGCGGGGCTCGGGCTCCTCAGAGAGTCGGTTGGCCGAGGCGAGGTTCAGAGTCAGCGCCTGTAGGCCGATCAGCGCCGCGTGATCGTCGATGTCCTCTAGGGCGGAGCGGCGCGGTCGCGGCCGGGCGGGCGGCGCCGCCGACACGTGGATGTAAGAGGCGCACGACTGTCGGACAGAGAAGAGAGGGGGTGGGTCAGTGGAGAGCACACATCACCACGGACAGATAATGTCGGAAATTATGGTGTAGGTTCAGGAGAGCAGTATACGGATTATGATGTGGGCTGCCCGCTGCGAATGGTTATTCGTCTATAACAGAGTTGAAAAATTGAAATAATTAGTGATGCAGAATACTCTTAGACCTAAAAAGTTCGCACTTCGTAGGCTCAAAAGTTCGCATTTGTTTACATTAGTCAAGCAACTCATTTCGATAACCATTTCTTATCGGCTCCACAGGTCACAAACAGGCCGGAAGTCAGCACTCTCCACACAGCACACGTCCCATTCCGACTGCGGCGTCACTCCTCACAACAACCCGTCTGGTTTCCGTCGAGTGACGGCGTAATGCCCCGCTCCGTCACGCCTGCCGTCAGACCAGCGTGTCGCGCTAAACGCCGGTTCCACGCCGACTGAGCACGGCTCCTGTGAGAGGCTCGAGTGACTCCGACGTGCCAGGTTTGACGGCATAGGACAGCGTATCATCGGCGGAAAGCAAACGTAAAAATCCAGCGGAAAAACAAACCGTGCACTGCATAATCTCAGCCAAACAAAAAGAATTGTGGGTTGGGCAACTGCTACGCACTGCAGTGCGCACGCGAGCAATACTGCGCTCTGCATGCGTTCACGGTGCTGTATGTTGCATTACAGAGGTCTGTAATTCACAGCACCGAGACAGACAGCCGGGTAATCAGGCGGCGCACGACCGGCCGAGCCGCATTCTCTCTCTGACCGGCGCCGGCGGTCAATTTCCGCCGCAGCCGGCGCCCGCCCCAGATCCAATATACACGGCATGACGGAGCAGGCGGCCGGAGGATGCAACCGTCGGGCTCGGGGCAGACGGAGTCGCCCTCACCCACCGACCACAATGGTAGAAATCGGTGGGTCTGCTCCCACAATGGCAGGAATCGGCGCATCTGTCTCCACAGTGGCAGCACTATGTGTGTGTCTCTATCCGCATTGTGCCGGTGTCTTCAGGCGCTTCCTGTGATCGTGAGGGGACCGCATCTCACCTTTCAGGTCAGGTCACGCCATCGACAAAGGCGGCTGGAAGGAGACAGTAATCGACGTCTGCAGAGCGCCAGGAAAGGCACAGGACCTAGCGCTGGTGGCAACTGGCAGCCCTGAGCTGCGTACGCCCCAAGATTCTCTTTGGTCGCTCTCCCCGCTCCTGAAGTGCGGCCGCCCACACAGCTCCAGCGGGGGCGGGGGCGGCGCCCGAGTCCAGAGGTGCCCCGCCGCGCCGGCCGCTCCGTTCAGAAGGCAGGTCACGTCTGCGGGCGTGGCTGCCGGCGCCGGGTGAAGGCAATGCGGTGACCGCACCGCGCGCATCGGCTGCCAGTGTCACGCGCCTGGCGGTACCGTCACAAACACTATTGTTGGACGGAGCCGAGTGCGTCGGCGGCGCCCGGACGGCGACTCGGGCCGCCACAGGAATGTGATGGAGGGCTCCGAGGCGCACAATACGCGGCTTGTTAGGACGTTGCCAAACAGCCGCACACGAACTGTCGGGAATTTACTGCGGACGATAAACCAGATGTCCGTCAGATATCCTCAGCGAATCTACAACACACGATGAATAAGCATCGTCAACAAACTCCTTACACGGACGATTTACGATCCGCGGTGAGACGGTAAAAGCCGAATAACTACTGGGAAAATAGTGAGAACCGTGTGGCGTGGTGGTGTATCACAGCCCGACAACACACACGAGCTAAGCGGTGAAGCCATCGCCCGCAGGCGGCGGTCAGCGGCGACCGATACCGCACGGCACGAGCGTGACGGACCGCCACGGCGCCGTGTGACGGGTCGTGACGCCGCTGGTCCACCTACACCGGCCGGTCACAGGCGCCGCACGGAACCGCGCCGGTGACGCTGCACAGGGTCGAAAACACGGTGGAGGAACGGGATTGCTGCCGAACACACTCTTCAGCGCGGCGTGCATACTGACGGCCGCTGGGGGTAAGATCAAACAGAGGTGGCACTCCCGAGAGACGTTAAACAATCAATGAACTGGCAAAGAAAAAGAAAGAAAACCACTTACCCATATGAAATCAATTAATAAGGAAAAACGATGTAGCTAACATGTTTCACAGATGTCACACAGCCCACGAGGCATGACGTTTGAAATTCACCACCGGCCAGCGCCGCCAAAAACGACTCATTTCGTCGGTTAGTCGCCGATGTGAAGGGCCCAGCGACCTGTTGTCATGTCCATATCATTAGCACCTCACGACCCACGCGGGTGAGACGACCCCGATGGGACCCCCGACAGTCCGCGGAGGCGTTACAGCCGTTACGGAGGTCGTTACCGCCGCCAGCAGTAACGTCTCCGGATCGCCAACGTCCTCAGCGGTGACACGCGACCGGGAAGGAGAGCGACCCGGGCCCAAACGGCCGCTTGGACGCAGCGAAGTCCACCGCCCATCCACCCAAAAACTACATTCGCTCTGCAGTGTTAGACTCCCCGTTCGCCAGAGTATATTTAGCGACCCTTTCGGCCACCGCCCGCGTGTCCGCGCAGATCTCAACCAGGCGTGGGCGCCCCTGACTATTCATGAGACGGCTCAGTGGCACTCAGCAGCCGTCCGACGCATAGTTTGACGCTCACATTAGTGAGAGCCGGCCGGTTAGCGCCGAGCCGCGGCGCCGGTCAGTCGCGCGCCGCTCACGCATACGGGACATTTGATACGGCCGCAGAGCCTGCGTGCGTGACGGGCCATAGTACAGAGGTCAGACGGCCGGTTTACACCGTGTGTCGGATCAGAGAGACCCGGGCGATAGAGCGGGCCCGGTGCCGAGCTGAAATTGCAGAGACCGTGCAGGCCACCCGGGGGGGGGGGGGGGGGGGTGAGGCAGGCGGCGCATATCGCTCCTGACGAGTATCGCACTGCATCTCCGCCGGGCACGCTGGGATGTTGGCTCCCGTTATGTGCCAGGGTGCCGTGCAGGGTCTCAGCGCCTGGGGTCGAGGAGGGAATGCCTGCTGCTGATAGCTGAAGGTGTGGTCGTGGTTTTATAGAGTCGAGCAAAACATCCCGCGGGAAGGGGATCAATGGCGTATGAAAAAATTATGGCTAGTTGGCAGGAGAGTCTACCGGCCGAAATACCTCCCAACCGAACAAGACACGATCCCGGACCATCAGTAGTGGGTGGCGCTGACATAGCCTCACCAGTTGGCAGTTACTACCATAGGTACTGAGTACGGCCCCAGGATATCAGCGGCGGTGGGTTGCAAGGCACAACACCGGCCCGAGGGGACCATCTGGCTTTACGGCAGCTCCGGGCCGGCGGCAGCCGGTCAGGAGGAGCGGGCCGAACAGCGAGTGAAGGCACGCCAGGGAGGAGAGGAACTGCTTCCCCTGAGGGTACTTCTAAGGAGACGAGGCGACACGTGCTGACACCTATCTGACAGAATCTTGCTGATGCCGTTACCCAGAGGGAAACAAGGCTCACATACATAGCTACCGAAGGGTGATAGGGGAGGGTACAAATTTGTCCCTCATGGGACTTGTCCCCGCCCCTCCCTGATTCTTAGCTCAGGGAGGTGACACAACCCGACACGGCTCGTCATGTCGTCTCCTGAGAACCTCAGACCGACAGCACAGAGAGCGCCGGTGATACCACGGTCTTGGCGGAGATATCACGGTCCCCGCGGAGAACCATCGTTCGCGGAGAGACAAACATAGGCCCAACACCGCCTGGGACAGATAGGACGACTATCGAGGATTACAAGACCGAAAACTGCGGCTAGCACGGTTCTGAGAAGGAACTCTGCAACACTGCAGAGCCGGTAAACACACCCCACTCGGAGAGATTGTCGAGATGCCGTGCGGTCAAACTGTGCTAAATGTTCAACTGCCATCGGCGGCTTTAGTCGATAAACGAGTGAGGCTATCTCGAACTTATGATGTGCAATGTGCAGTAATGGAAGTGAGGCTAGTCATCTGCTCTCTGCCTCATTGCGAACAGGACGGACCATCCTCACGCGTCCGATACAACAAAAAAGCACACACCGCTCAAACCCCAGCCCAGCAGAACAACATTTAAAGCCTAGTGAAGCTCGCCACTGGACAATGCCAAAGTCAAGGCCGGTTAGGTCCAACAGTAGCGACAGAAGGCACCTCAGCCGCTCCTCCCACCACCCTTCATTGGGAGGGGTGACTCAGACACGCGCTCGCAGCGATCGTCTATTGTCACCATCATCAGTCTCCATTTCTAGCGTCGAACTGCTGTCAGCCGCCGCCAGCTGTGTTCCGGCGGCGTGACCTCTGGCCGTCCGGGTTGACCTCTGACGACCTCTGGCGACCTCTGACGTAAGACGCGCCGAGGGAGCGAGAGGCCCGACGACCAATCGTCACCGAGTGCTGTGTCACCACGGTTGTTCACCGCTCACCCCGCCGGTGACTGTTGCACACTCGTTTGGTGAGAGGGGTGGGGAAAGGACAATCAACAACGCACTCGGCGAGAGAGCAACGTCGTAATCAACGCTGCGTGTGTCCGCCCGTTCCTCAATCGTCACGTCCTTAGGTGTGGTGAGCGGTGGGCGGAGACGGTATAGCCTGTTTGTGACGCTGCGAAGAGAAGGCCCCCCCCCCCCGGTCGGCACTCGGTGACAGCTCCGTCCACAACAGGTTCAACGTCCCAGCCGGAGAGAGAGTCGAGAGGGAAGAGAGATGAGGCCGACAGCCGGATGGCCGTTGCGCCACCAGGCCAATTTGCACCGCGAAATTGCGTTTGGAAGAGGCGCACGGGTCAAGAGGAACTGGAACTTTTACACCTCAGCCTTTGAGTGCATCGTATTTCGAAACGACCAATCAAAGGATTACAAAACCGCGCGTCTTGTAGCAGAATCGCATTGAACAGTTCCATAGCGACAGAGGTGCGTTGAAAAAGTAAAATCGTCCATGAACTCACATGGGGCTTCAGACTGGTTGACATCGGAACACCAT